CCCCCCTCGGCGACCGAGGTGGTTCCTTCCAGCCGGAGAGAATCGCTCGATTGTTTTGCAAAAAAAGAAAGGCGCGATTTAAAAGCCGGGCGAGATTTGCGTGCGAAGGAGGGGGAGGCTTGCTGTGCCGGCGAACCGAGCCGTTGCAAGAACGCTGGGAAAGCGGGGCTTGTTCACTTTCCACCCCACCCACGTCCCCGTCCCCGCGGCGCTCGCCGTCCATTCTGGCTTTCATGGAGTTTGGGGTGGGGGTGTGGGGGCGCGCAAAAGGATACTTGGCCGCCCACCTCAACTGCGGGCTTCCCTCGGCACTCCAGCCAGAGTCCTGTATAGAAGAACCTCGAACGGGAGAGCGCTCAGCCCGACGGGCTCCCCATCCGGTCTCGGCTTCAGGAATGCGGCCGGGGGAGCTGGCCAGCTGTCGGAGCAGGTGCCTCAAGCCAAAGACAGCCTCCGACTGCAGGACAAGGGGGTGGGCTAGGCCTGGAAAGGCCGGAGATGGAGGGTGCGGGGATTGCTGGGAGGCTGAACCCCAATAATGCCCATGGCCTGATGTTTAAAGGGGATATTGGGCCCCTTTAGATCAGGGGTCTCCCCACCCCACCCCAGCTGGCTGGGGAATTCTGGGAGTTGAAGTCCGCCAGGCTTAAAGTTGCCGAGGTGGGGAGACCCCTGCTTTAAATGAACCTCCCACACATGCTTCATCAGCTGGAACTTTCTGGAACTTTTTCAGAGGTGGTAAACAATGGTCTCCTTTATCTGTTCATCAAAAGCAAAGGTGGCCACAGTGACTATAGGTAGTCCTTGACTTACAACCATTCCTTTAATGACTGTTTGAACAGTGGTACTGAAACAAGTGTCTTGGGACCATTTTCACACTTATAACCATTGCAGCATCTCCATGGCCATGTGATCAAAATTGGGATGCCTGGCAACTGGCATGTATTTATGACGGTTGCACTGTCCCGGGGTCATGCGATCAACATTTGTCAGCTTCTGACAAGCAAAGTCAATTGAGGGGGAGCCTGATTCGCTTAATGACCAAGTGATTCACTTAACCACCGTGGCAAGAAAGGTTATAAAATGGGACAAAAACTTGCTTCGCAACTGTCATGCTCAGCAGTGGAGATTTTGGACTTGGTTGTGGTCATAAGTCGAGGACTACATGTACGTGATTCAAAAAAGAACTCCTTTTCCAATTCCGCCATAGGCTTTTCACAAGGACGTACAAATAGAACAGAGATGGCCGTTCAGTTGGCTGCTGGACCAGTGTAAGAAAATATTCAAGGTCCTTTCTAGTAAATCTATCCCACTGAGTTCCATAGTAACTCAGAGAGGTAAGGTGTAGAGAAAGCGAGACACTAACTAACTCCTGAGCATGATCTTGGGATTGTGGGAAGCCCATGCGTGCTCTATGTCATAGGGCCTTTAACAGAATAAAGAGCCGTGCCATTAAACAATAAAGAGAGAGTACAAGAGCAGGTGGTCCCAGCCACCCCTGAGCCCAAGGAAACTCCTCTCACTGCAGGAGAGCCGAAACAGGTCATTCTGGCTCAGCTGCTCACAACACAAGCCTGCTGAGAGGCATCCCTTTTGTCTCCACATTTCCCTTTTGTACAGTTGATTCCCTGCTCTGATCTTCACCTTCCATGCCTAACACAGGTTGATAATGTTGCTGCCGCTTCTGAGACTTAACCAGGCTGTCCTGCCAGTGACACTTTCTCACCCTTTTCTGAGTTAACTTTTATGGCCACATTTCACCGCTCAATTCTTGCCAACACAAAATACTTTATCTATGTATTGATTGCTGAAGTTTGGGAAATTTTGATTGACATTTCTGTGACAAGCAATGCATAGCTAGAGATTTTAGGAAAAGAACAATGACCGACACAGACGAGTAAAAGTTTTTCTGCAGTCTTTGGAATGCTATGAAAACCAAATGTGTGCCGAAAGGAAACACTGTTCTGCTAATTGAAGGAAAGGGGAACAATGGCTTAACTATTATTTATGTAGGAGATGACCAGGCTGAGCTGGAAGATGGGGTCAAATGCGTCATCACTCTGGAATCTTTCCACTCCTGCAAGAGACCTAAATCCAGTCCACCTTGAAGTCCATTGACTGTATCTAGCAGCAATTTGCCTCAACCATTAGTAGGTCAGGTTCTTGTGTATTGATAGCATGGAATAAACTTGAAGAATTTTGAACTAAACTCCTGTTCCTGGTTACTTGCGCCTGACAAATTACTAAATAAGTCACAGTTGGCTGGGTCCATGTAACACCAATGTTTACACACTTCACTGGCAGAGGTTTTGTGTCATGTAGAGCCACTAACAAGCACGGCACATTTTGACTTAGACTGTTGTTAAAACTTAGCCAAAGCTTTGCTAAATAAAGTACAATGATTGGGTTTATTTATTTATAAAATTTATATGCCATCCACTCATCAAATGCTTGAGTGAAGTGTTCGTACAACATGCTAAGAGGTAAAACCAAACCAATTCTACTGGCTGAATTCACGTGATGTGCTAAGTCATAATTTAAGGTCTTTGCTTGTTCCTACATCTTGTAGTTTGCAAATATTTGTTTCTAGCTTATTTTTTATGCAAATCCACCAAATTGGATTAACATGTTGAAATGTGAAGCAATGTCAAGCAAAATATGGCTTAGGATAATTTGTGAATACTAGTGTGATGTCTTAGTGCAATGTGCCAACCCAATAATGTTTACAGATTGTTTCTGGAAATTCAGACAGAAGTGCAATGAAATTTATCTAGGATGAAGCCTTGGGCAGCTAGCCATGGGCTTTCTGGGGGTCTGATGCCAGATCACTACTTTTGCAGATCTCTCTGTCTGGATTGGTAGTCTTTGCTCCATAAAAGGAGCAACCACAAATTGCTTTATTTCAAACTTCCTAAGAAGCTCTTTTATTGGTTTTACCTCTGGGCTTCTCATTACTGGCTCCACTACAGCCAAGGCAAGGCTTATCATTTCCCACAGCCTCCCTTGTGAGAGAGTTAAAATGTCCAAACGCTAAAAGCTTCTGCAATTCTCCTCTACCCTTGCCTTCCTCTGAAGCAAATTGGATTCTTTCCAGCATGAGCTTTAGAAACAGAGAAGGCTTTGTGTTGGAAGCAACTCTCACCCAAGGCTCAGAGTTTTAACACTGGCACATGATCCTTGGAGGAGAGTTTGTCCCACAGGAGCTGGATCATCCATGATCAGCTCTCTGCTGCCACTCTTATTCCCTTCTGACGCAGCTGATCAGATAGA